CGGCCGATAAAGTCTGTAGTGTGCGGTGGGTTTAAAGCATTTTAAACAAGAAATATCGCCGCCGCATTTTATATGGTTTTTATTCATGTGATTCCCTGTGGGGAAAATCTCTAGTTCTGAACTGGTGCGCTTCTAGTACATTTAGACCCAGTACTGGTTCGCGATAAATCTCTTTTGCATGCAAGCAGCTGGCGAATTTAACATGGCGATGTCCTAGGAAGTTTCAATTGCCGCCCGCTGCATCCTTTTTTCGATAATTCCGAACTAGTCCTAAATTCTGTCCCAGTTCTGAAATCGACGAAAGAAAAAAGTATCATAATTTTTCCATCTTTATGGTTCTTCCGTGTGTGCGATTTTAAGTTATTTTGGCAGAAATGTGTTTTCAATTTGAAATTAAATTTGTTTGAATGATTGTAAGAAATGTACGTTTACATACTTTTAGCTGTAGCTGAGTTTGCAGAGGTGCCCGCTGTTATTTCTTAGATTCCAGATGGTCCCAAGATGTTGAAATGTTAACACAAATTTTAGTTTTGTATGAAACAGCATCTGCGAAGCGCAGAATAGAAGCGTATTTGAACGAAAAAGCCGCCGAACACATATCTATGTAAAGTAAACAAGCCCCCCGCTGCATCCCTTATTCGATAGTTCCGAACTTGTTCTAAATTCGACAAATAAGATCTAGTTCGTTCTGCATCCCTTTTTCTATAGTTCCGAACCATTTCTAAATTCGTCACTTTAGATATCGATTTCTAGTGAAAAAAAAAACTGAAAAAATTAGTATTTTAAAAGTACCACTTTTCGCCGATTTTGGCCTGGTGAGGAACTAGTTCGTATCGGACTAGTTCCTTTTTGGCGATAAAGACCTAGTACGGAACTAGAAATTTGATTCACTAGTCCGCGTTTTCCCTGCAGGGTTAGCACTGGTAAGAATGTATGTATGTGTATGTTAAATATGTATATGTGTATTAAAAATGAAGTGATCAGTTTTGAAATATATAAATATTTATATGTCCTGCTAAAAAATATCTAAAATTATAAACGAAAATCCCCAAGTCGAATATCGCAGCACTGCCCTAATTACGTGTTTGTCACAGACACGGTTTATCTCAAAAATTTTAAAGTGAAACTACCTTCTAAAAATTATTGTATCATTCATAGCAAATTCTCATGTTTGTAGTTTTTTTAACCGACCGCATAACTTTGGACCACGTTAACCGATTTCGAGATTTCTTTTTTCGTCGGACAGGTGGTACCTCAAGGGTGGTCCCATATTAATATTGTTTAGATCCGATAATTAGAGCGTGAAGAAATTAAGAATAATCTTAAATTTTTATATGAGAATTGAAGTCGGTTTTGTTTTTGCTTAAAAATTACTTTTTTTTTTAATTGTCGTACACATTTAAATTAGGTCAATTTGAAAGAGCAAGCCTTCAGCCATAATAGAGGTAGTTTTATTTGTTTTACATGACATTATGTTACGAGATTATGAAAGCACCTCGAAAAAATTTCTTTAACTTAGGTATCTTTTGTGAATACATAGAAGATTTTTTAAAGGCACCCTACGTAAATCACATATCGAGCCCTAACCGCCAAAATAAAGTAAGAGACATTTTTTTTAATTCTCTTTTTGATGCAGAAATGCATCTAGATGCCCAAGGAATATATCTGCATCAAAATGAAACAAGTAAGAGCAGCGCCGTCTTCGGCTTTGCGGAAGGCTTCATACCTTTCATGAACATCTGCAAATTTTACTTTGACAGACTACTGCTTTTGAATACATCTGCATACATTGATAGAGGAGTTACATACTTATATAAAAAATCGCATCTAAACAATCAGAGGTATGGAAGATATACCTTATATTAGCACCAATCTAAGTGATTTTCACTGCTATATGATCGGTATGTAAACCGGTAATACAATTTATTGGGTTTAGTTTCCTACATAAATGAGATATATCGCAAAAACTGGTATCTGAACAATCAGTGGTATAGGAGATAAAGCTTATACAGCATAGATTTTGACGATTTACCCAGTAGACTTTGTATTATTATTTATAAAATATCTTACGAAATTTATCGGTTTTAGCTGTTCAAATAAAGGAGTTTTACAGTAAAATCCCATATCTGAACAATCAGATGTATGGAAGATACATATATGTTATAGTCACCCGATCCTTGTTATTTTCACTGTAAGTATTCTGTTAATAACGAGTGAAAATGGTGCGAAATTTCATGTTCCTAGCTGCATAAATGGACGAGTTATGATAAAAGACCTCATATCTGAACAATCAGTTGTATGGGGGCTGCAGGTTATAGTGAGCCGATCTTTGTTATTTTCACTGTAAGTCTTCTGTTGATAATGGGTCCAAGTACTGCAAAATTTCATGTTCCTAGCTGCATAAATGGAGAAGTTATAGCGAAAAATCTCATATCTGAACAATCAGTTGTATGGGAGCTATATGTTATAGTGACCCGATCTTTGTAATTTTCATTGTAAGTATTCTGTTGATAATGGGTGCAAGTACCGCAAAATTGCATGTTCCTAGCTGCATAAATGGAGAAGTTATAACGAAAAATCTCATATCTGAACAATCAGTTGTATGGGAGCTATATGTTATAGTGATCCGATTCGTCCGGTTCCGACAAATGATTAATACATTATAAAAATACACCCACCTACCAAATTTCATCCGGATATCTCGAAAACTGAGAGACTAGATTGCATACAAACAGACGGACAGACGGACATGGCTAAGTCGACTCAGCTCGACGTTCTGATCATATAAGTATACATTTTAATGGGTCTATCTCTTTTTATTATGGTACTTACAAACATTGGACCAAAGTTATAATACCATTTCATGCTCATGAAAGGTATAAAAAAATGTAGCTTACGGTTTCTTTGAAAGCACAGAAATAAATATGTATTTTTAAACCACAACACATCCAAATTGCACTTTGCCGGAAATTCGCTAAATTCCTAGAAATTAACGTACATTAACACTTTACTTTCTATTTTCTCGCTGCTACCAACTTGCACCGCAATTTATCAAACGAAAATTAAAGCTGTGCCTAAATTGGATTCGCGTGGTTAACCGCAATTTTATTAACGCTGAAAATGAAATAAGTAAAACGGGAAACTTGATGACTTCTATAAAATGAATGAAATTTTGCTGCAACATAAAAGTATATGTATACATCGATATCTACAATGTATTTGACAATACCGCTTTAGGTCGGCTCACCCGCTATTCGGGGAGCTCAAATTTCAAATCACTTCATATTATAGTTTTAAGTAAAGATGTAATCTATACGGAGCGGCGGAGGAGACGACCAGCCTTTTTGTAAAGTTATTAAAGTGAAGTTTATTACGCATACTTAAAATTCGTAAAAAAATTACACTTGCTTTTTTCGCCAACCTTTTGAATTAAACAAGAAATATTGTTTTTTAATTAATTTCCACCGATTCTCTCTAGTATTTGTTAAAAGTGGGCTTTAATAAAAAACAAGTTACGCAACACTGCATGAAAATTTGAGTGGCATTACCTCAAAAACTTTATCGGCTGTCTGATAGACGACTGTAACGGCAGTGGTGCACAACCACTACATTTCCTTATCCGCTCAAGGTGCCAGCAATGCTCCTTATTTTGTGCACCCACCACATTTTGTGAATACGAATGTAGAAATGTATGACATATGTGCATACATAATAGCACACGTTCAAGCACCTAATTTCCCTGCAAAAATATAAAGAGCAGGTGGTCCACTGGGTCGTAGCTTTAAAGTATGTGCAAGAGGGCCGAATTGCATACTATAACTTGTTATGCTGACCTGGACAACTTCAAACGTAGAAAGTGATATATGTGTTGAACACCACCTCTTTGTGGCCCATTGGCAATATGATTCGGTTTCCGAATGTGCCATGGTCCAAAAGGAGAAGTTGTCTAGGTGCTCCCATGTTATACAGCAGTGGACCAGAAGTGGTCCCTTTTTATGCAACGTTGGACCAGAGGTGGCCAGGCCCAATGACATGGCAATGTTAATGTAACCATATTTTCTCCATATATTTGGACCATTTTGGTTACTAGTGTTGGTTAAAAGGTAACGTGGTCCTGTACTAGTATTTAACCTAGTTCCACTTTTTGCAGTGTGTTTACAGCTGGCAAAGTCTTGCGATGAGTAGAGGGTAA